CCTTTGCGCGAATAAATCAAAAATAGTAAAAAAATTAAAGGAACATTGTTTCTTACCGAAATCTTAACGAAATGATTTAGCCTTACTTTATTCAAAAAAATACCCCCATGCCACAACACCGGCCTTCACCTTGCCCTTCGGAAATGATACAAATGACGTCACCGGAAACTTACGAATTTTGACGAAGTTATGTCGGTTGCTTCCGTGAAACTCGGAAAACATGTTGCGGTGCATAGCAACAACTTACTTGAAAAGAACGATTAAATGCAATCTCTTTTCCATAAAACTAGCGTTTGCGTCTTAAGTCAACAGAACTTTTCATCTGACGTCATACTTTCGTCACTTCAACGGTTCGGGTATTTCCGATTTTGTCGGAAACTTCCGAGAAGTTTGGAATCTCGATCCCGATGCTTGGGAAATGATTTCTTTTTATAGTTTTGTTTTATTCTTTTTGCTTTCTTTTTCTTGAATGATAGACAGTACATGTGTAGGTTTTTGATAGTAAATAAACTGCGCTCGCCCCAACGGTCACACCGTAAAACATATTAGCGAGCGTAGCGAGGCGGCGCGAAGCGCCGCTCGCGTAGCGAGCTCAATAGACTAACGTGTACGAACGGAGGAAATTCGGAATGAAATCTGCACATTGTTCCAAAAAAATTTTATGAGTCCACGTGAAAACATTCTTCAATCCCAATAATCCTTTGCGGTGCATAGCAACATGGTGGCTAAAACATAGCAACAACTTACTTGAAAAAAATTACAAACAACGATTTAATGCAATCTCCATGTCACAAAACTATCGTTTGCATTCTAACTCAACAGGACTTTTTATTTGACGTCATACTTTCGTCACTTAACAGCTCGTGTATTTCCGATTTTGTCGGAAACTTCCGAAATGTTTGGAATCTCGATCCCGATGCCTGGGAAGTTATTTTTTTTCTTCTTCTTTTTTAATGAACTGAGGATAGGCAGTGCAAGTCAAAGCTGTTTAGGCCTAAATGTTTTAGATAGTAATTAACTGCGCTCGCCCCAACGGTTGCACCGTAGAACATATTATGTACAACAAAGTTTCAAACTAATTACATACAGATCGTTAGATGAACTGATTTCGTTGGGTCATTAAAACGCTTTTTTATATGACGCTTGATTGAAGGATGTTAAAGACAATATTATCAATGAGAATCGACGTCTGCAAACAAATAAGTCTTACTAACAAAACAGAAAATCAAAGTACTCAGAAGTACAGAGAGCCGGGCTCATTTACAGAGTAGAATGGATTTCTTACATTAATCACGTTTATATTCTGATGAAAAAATTATTTTAAAACTATCAATATAAATGATAAGACACTGACAGTGAGTTTTTCAATCCTAATACTACGGTCCGATTTTGTCAGAATCAGAATTAATCTGGTACCGCAGCTGAATGTAAACAAACAGGCCAGTCTGGTTCCCTCTCCTGCTTTACCTCGTATGTGTAGAGAACTACGGTAACACTGATTATCAAAAATCCTTACGCTAATGAACTATGTTCTTTGACTTATGAAGTTTCAAAGTCATTACTACTAATGTTTATTTTATAAAGATAAAACTTCGTTTTATTTTTGTTGCGTTATTTAGCGTTTGTTTTATCTCAAAAGCGGTTGAGAGTAAGAACTATATTTTTGCACGTAACTTTAAAATGGCGACTATGGGGTCAACATCCTGCCTTGAACAGGATCACATAAGCCGGCAATTGCTCTTTGAGCAATAAGCCCGGTGTACCAGGAAATCCTGACTTATTTAGAGAAAATACTAGTAACCAAAATAACCAAGCATGCAACCAATTTTAGCATGAAGATTTTGAATGAGTTCTTGCAAGTGCGCTGTGTTAGCACCGATATTTTTAGGAAAAATTCAAATGGATTGCCGCATAAATAATTACAACAGTCAGCATAATAATAACAATAGTGTTGCATTATGCATGTACTATGCCTAAATAGTAGGCAGGGTTTGACACATAGTGCACTCGCCTCCGGCTCGTGCACCATGTGTCAAACCCTGCCTACTATTTAGGCATAGTACATGCATAATGCAACACTTTTATATAATTTTTGGTGTCGGACATGAATTAAAAACTAGAAATCAAACAGATTGACAAAAAGTATAACCCCCCCCACCCCCCCCCCCCCCCCGATTTGGAAAGGATTATGGCTGCATTGTGTCTGATTATCGGGAGCCAAATAATTTTACATGATGTACTAAAGTTTGTAACAATTTTTGTTGGCAGGAATCTTCATACATTGTCAGACGATTATTTCTACCGAAATAATTTATTTAATGCTTTCTACCACATTGCACAAAATGGATTGAACATATATGTTACATAATAATGTACTTGGTAGATAGATGTTTAAAAGTTCAATAATGCATTGAGTCATATTTAACTAGGGGTCAGTATTCTATTGGTATAAATGTTTACATGTCATTGTATAGTCACGTGTGTACAATATATCGCACCTGCTTCCTATATCTACATGTAAATTTGAGAGAAAGGTGTGGAAATGATAAGATGGTATTCCAGGGTTGGAATAAAATGAACATAATGAATCCCCTTATAGTGAGTCCTTACGTGGGGACTTGTTCCATGAGTGTAAGAAAAAAAGTTCATAAAAATTCACATATTCTCGGTATTTATTGGTTCCGAGGTGGAAGGAACAAAAAAGAAAAAAAGGATACAAAGCGTGTATATAGTTAGTCAGATGTTAAAAATGGGGTTTTTGAACTTTCCAAAAAATTATCGCACAAAAAATGTTCAAATATGGTGTTTGTGTGAATTTAAATACAAACCACCCTGTCTAGTGTCTAAAGCCAATTCTTTAATTCACTGCAATTAAAAGTAGATTTATTTATTATTTTTTATTTCGTGTTTATTTGTTTGCTATTTCATTCTTGTTCTAATTTTTTCTTCCTTACGAGGATCATTATATTTGATATTTGCACACATTCATTTCTGAGAGGTGTTGCAATGGTCATTAAGAGAGATAATGCAGATTTTGAGCGAGAATTGTTTAATGTGACCTGAAAATGTGACCCTGTACACGTACATTTTGAAGAAGCCTAAATCTTAGTTCCATCGAACAATAGAGTCTGTTTTTTTTTCTTTCTTGCTAAGCACAATCCACTGTCTCTGTTTGCATTTGCAATTCCTTCTTTGGCCCTTTGCACCAATAAACATTTTCCTGTTTTATTGCGTTTGGTGCATTTCATGTTTCACTCTGGTATTTCTTATTTTTGTCACACCCAAATTTGTTCAAGTAATTGGTCTGTTAAAATTACATTAAATTTTAAGAATCTGCTTTGTTAGAACTGCAGACTTTCTGCTCTCGATCAGAAAAAAGAATGAACAAGCAACGGGCGTCACCCTCTACAAATGTCTGTAGGCCTAGTTAGCTCTGACAAGTATCATTGTTCATTTTCCTTCTCTATCGTAAATGTAAACCTGGAATGACGAACTCTGTACTTTTGTTGAATCCCAGACGAGCAGGTCACCTATTTCGAAGTCTTCATCTCTTCCCTTCTCTTCATTCTCATGAAGAAGCTTGATCCCTTGTTGCAGCCCCATCTTAGACCAAATTAAGGGGCCAGGATATTGTCGAATTTGAAAATAAACATGGGGATGCTTCAGTATCAACATAACTTAAAAATCCTTATTGTTTTGGAGAAATTTTTTTCTAGATACAAGTTTTCGGAGATTTTCTATTTTATTTTTCTCACTCTAATGATAAGGTGCATAACTTAATAAAGAGTCTACGTTGTGCATGTGAAACTAATATATAAATAAAATAAATAAATAAAAATAAGATTTTGTTTGGTCCAGGTTCTGAGATTCTTTTAAAAATTAATTTAATTGATCTACCCCCTCCCCCTTATTAAGTGTTATCTAAACGTTTTAATTCGACCCTATGTTGTGACCCCACGTTAGATAATTTAAACAAACTTGAGGCTGCATGCAGAAACATCACTACTCATTACATAACTGTTCTTCGTGAGACTATGAACATTTTTTCCCTATTTACCATGCCCCCTCCCTTCCCAGAAGTCACGATTTAGACAATATAAAGCCAGTACTACCGGAGAATGACCTTGAATTTTTTTTTTAAATACAGTATATTTTATCCCGCATTTCCCCTTGTAATGTCTCACTGTTGCTAAACCCTCCCTCGGGCGGGGTGATTTGAACAATATGTAGAATTCACAATTGTTTGGGAAGCTTTTACAAATTTCAGTTTTTCTTGCATAATCTCCCCTCGGACGCGACTCCTGGAGATCCAATGATGGTTGTAATGGTTGATTTTTTTCGAGTGGTTTCGGAAAAGGAAAACAACTGAAAAGTTTACAAGGCACTATATAGAGTCAAACAGACAGACATAGAAATTCATCTTCTGTCGCACGACAGTCATAAAGTTTATCTAATTTAATTTGTTATTTGTACTTTTTTTTAATTTCAAAATGCCCATCATTTATTTACACACAAATCATGACCCATAGAGATGACGGCGTGGTCACACTCTACAATATTTTGTTGATGTTAGAACATTAATGAAGGGATTTGGACAATATATTTTTTTTTTCTAAATTAATTTATGTTTATGGGTTGAACAAAAATGACTCGGAAAAACCTAAGAAAACTGGGTATATTTAAACATATCAGATACAATTAAGTTGTGACCCCACTTCAGACAGTGTGTGTTTATCCTGTGGATCAGACATTCCAGTGTTTTGTCCTATAATCCTCACACTATACAGCGCGTCCATTCACTGGCAAGGTGCGCAAACCTCCATCTCATTTTTCTGCATAAACTAATATTTATTCTTGTCTAACGTGTTTTCCACTGCTGTTTAAACTAACTTGGGTTAAACGACTTGAACCAAATTTAAACATAGTTAGAAGGCAAGATTGTCGCTCGAGATTTGAAAGGTATTACCACCTACCGATCTCTCGGTGTTAATTTGAAAGGACTTGAAACTCAGAAGGCGATAATTATCGAAGGCTTAATGAAGAAGAGGTGATAAAAAAAACTCAACCGCAATGAATTTTAATTAATGAATGAAAATCGGAAAAAAATCTGAATGACATTGCGCACTGCCGTTGAACCAATGGAAGAAAGACTTTTCTTTCAGCCAATCGGCAGTCTACCTATAAAACCGACGTGTGCGACGGCGGTGTGGATTCATCATATTTTTGACAAGAAAGAAGTATGAAGTTTCACAACATGTAGAACCGTATAATAATTGTTATAGTTTCTTCTCCAACGAAAAGTTTCAAAGTTCCAATGTAGATTGTAAATCGTTATCAAATTAAAATTTCACTATGGAGAATTCTCTACCCGTATTCTTACTATGGACGTTTGTATCAGTGACTACAGTGCACTCGGTGGACTTTCCCGTTAATACATATTTCCAATGTCCAAAAGAATGTGATGTTTCTAAATGCAACAAGCTGAGTTACTGTGGCGGGGATATAGTCAAGGATGAGTGCGGATGCTGTTCCAAATGTTCCTCGGATACTTGGAAACATCCTAAAGTATCATCAGTAAAACAAGGTACATGTATGGAATTGATAGTTTATTTGCATGTTGTTCGTGTGTATACCTATTATTTAGTATTACATTTTTAAAGCCTTGTTGACACGACGAGACAAATAAATTGAATACCGTCTGTTTCTGAGCGTATTTTGGCAGAAAACTAGTGTTTTATTGCCAGATGACGAGGTTTTTAGTGCGTTTACCTGGGGCAAGGCCTGCCTCGAAGCTACCAAACACGGAGAACACCGCGAATCCGACCTTAAAACTAAACCAGTTTGAATGGGAAAAATATGGGAAAGGGTTTATTAGTCTCACGTATGGGTCTCTTAGCATATCCATGTTGTAAAATTAAAAAAATTCTTACGTAACGTTTGATAAGAGCAGTAAACTGTAATAATCACCTGGTCGGCGTGTTTGAATAACCTACAAAGTCAGACGAATCTTGATCTAGAATTTTTTAAGTCTACTTAGCTTAGACGATAGGTGATACGTTACTAATAACCACGATAAGCTTGATTTACTTATATGTAACAGTACCACTCATCTTATAATATATACCCGTCAAGGGAATGGATCGTATAGTAATAAATTTGTACCTGAAACATATTTAAAACAAATTGCAGATTTTGAAATTAGTTCATCCCCTGGCGAAAAAATATATACTCGTATTGTTTCACCTGACCAAGAACTTTGTCATTTTAGCGGGAAAAATCACCAAAAAATTCGCCCTTTAAAGAAATGTATATTTGTTTGCCAAATGTTGCATATTTTACACTCCCAACTCCCACGAAGAGGTAATTTATCCAGTCATACCTATGTGGTCTTAGAAAAAATACCACGTTTATGATTAAAATCTATTTATAGTGCTCAGTATAGAAACTTGACTCTAAATGAAATGATAAACTACTCGTATATATGAACATGTACTTTTATCCATATGTGCATGTGTAAATATGTCTATACTGAAACCAGACACGCCGTGCAATAATTCGCTTTTTCCTCCCGATGTTAAAAGTTCAGTTATCAGAGTAGACAACAACCCGATGAAAAAGAAATAAATTAGATTAGGAGAAGATGTACAGCTGATCTATGCCGACCTAACGTGTTTTACTTGGCAATATAGCCACTGAGTGTAGCCGAGGTGTTTTTGTTGAGTAACCAGACATTCGTGTCTCACTGTGGATAAACCAGAAACAATGCTACAACATGTCGACTATTTGAAGAGAATTTCTCCATCAGTTTTTAGCAGATTAAATTATTTACCGATTACAAGAATCTGTTTTTGTCCCAAACCAATTTATCTCGGATGTGAACCAACAAATGTTATTTGCACCTTAAGCAGCGTTGTTTAAGATTCAATTTGCAACATTTCCGTGCAGTTATGAATCTTATCTCAAGGTCGTATATTTGCTATGTTGATAATTAGAATGATTATCGTAATTCGATTGACATCTGCATGACTTATCACACAGTAGGAACCTGTGTTATATAAAGAAATAGATACCGTACCGTTATAATCGAACGTTACCTATAATACTCCTAAGACTTTTAATCCTGGACAAGGCACCATTGTTTTAAAACACACAGTTATTAGAAATCAATTTAGATATTTAAAAAGAACATAAATGATCTTGTTAATCAGTCTGTCAAATGTGTCTATTAACTGTTCCTTTATATTACAGGCGGTGCATGTGAGCAAGTAAAATGTCCAAAATTAAAAGTCTGTATGGAGAATATGCAAGGACTCCCATTATGTACTTGCCCAAATTTGTTCATATGTAGAAGAAGTAACAAACAAGTGTGTGGAAGTGATGGGAACACGTATCAGTCCCGGTGTCATATGAGAGTGTCCTCATGTACCTTAGGTAAACGCATACGAGTGCAACACAGGGGGACATGTGGAATGGTCGCCACGCAACACAGTGGTGTAAATAAATATCCCGACGGAGAATTCGACATCCGCAGCCGTCGGCGGAAGGACAGAAAACTCGAAAAGAAGAAGAGAAGGAGAGAAAGACAACGAAAGAAGAGACGAAATAGGAAAAAAGCAAGGAAAAACAAAGATAAAAAGTTAAAACGTAGAAAGAGGCGCCATAATAGAAAGAGACTATCACAGAGAAAATTTAGAAAATCAAAGAAAAGGACATGACCTGTTGTTATCATAGAACACTAAATACATTATTTATTGTGAATATGTTAAATGATTTTATATTTCTTTTGCAAGTTTTATCCTTTATAAATGGTCAGTATTCAAATACATGTACATATATGTATCATCACAGTTCAGTAGACTTTTCCTGCTAAATACTAAAATGTTTTACCCTGTCCTTCTGTTTAATAAACAAAACTAGCTTTTGTATTGTTAAGATGTATACTTTTGTATTTTGTTAGCCTTAAAGGCACCTTAGTTGTAGAGAAAATTTGTTTTTTAATTGTTTACTTATTTTTATATAAAACATCAAAAGGCTTTGTTTCGCGTTTTTGTTTCATTCAGGTTTTTAATATACCTGCATTGATCACGCGTCTGGAGTATAATTTATGTGATTGTCCAATTAGTTGTAGAATTTTCAAGAAAGTCAAACTAAAAAAAATTTACACATTTCAAAATCGTTGCTTTTGAAAACAAAAATGGACCGGAGAAATCACCCTTAATGGGAATAAAATTTAAATAATGTAAAAGTGACCTAAGGTAGTCCAGTCCTCATCTTAATAAAATCAGCAGTTAAGTGATTGTAGATGCTCACAAAAATATCTCTGAATTCACGAAGTAATGCTTTTTGCCCACAGTATTTCTTCAAAATTAATCATTATAGTTAATCATGATAGTGGGAAAATTGTCAGATCTCTAATATATACTCAGGAAACTCGAATAGAAACATCAACTATGCATTTTCTATAGTGTTGCTCGGAAAATTTTCAATGTCGTGCTTCTTGTTGATACTTTTTAAATTAAATAACAATTTAAAGAGTTGTCCTTCCTGGCTAAGGAGCGGATATCCTTAAGAAAATTATAAAGGCACTATAACTGAAGCTTATCCCTAAATCCCGTACAGAATAATAAAGCAAAAATCAATTCGAATTCTCATCTTCCAGGATCCAAAGCTAAAACATATTTGTAAAAATATGGAAAATTCTGTAACTCAGGAAACTCGAATAGAAACAACAACTATGCATTTTCTATAGTGTTGCTCGGAAAATTTTCAATGTCGTGCTTCTTGTTGATACTTTTTAAATTAAATAACAATTCAAAGAGTTGTCCTTCCTGGCTAAGGAGCGGATATCCTTAAGAAAATTATAAAGGCACACTGAAATAAATCCCGTACAGAATAATAAAGCAAAAATCAATTCGAATTCTCATCTTCCAGGATCCAAAGCTAAAACATATTTGTAAAAATATGGAAAATTCTGTAACGCAAATATGACAAATGTTGTAACATTATTGTTGCAAAATATTAATATACAAATCTCAAGATGAAACAATTTTTGGGGGGTCTTTTGAAAGACAACAAAAATACGACGTACTTGTCAATCATAGGTCTACAGTGGTTTCAAAAGCAAAAGGCTACATAGGGATACATGATGCAAATTGTGACTACAAGACTGGTTTTCTTGACATTCTAGATAGTATATTAAATAAAATAAAGAACTGTTTTAGTCTGTGAGATTCCAAAGGCACCTTTAATTATTCAATTTCTTCACTCTAGAAATTCCTACCGACAAAGTTAACAATCGTTTTAGAATATACGGTTTGCCTAATCAGATTTGGTGTAATCGTTTACATATTGGTTTAAGGTAACAACACCACATTTACGACAATCGCCAATCGTCCGACACGGCAAACCAGAATACCTGAACAAACAAGATACGACAGTAACTTGGAACATTTCAAGCTTTCTTCATACCCGGCACAATCCGGCCGTCACCGAGAAAAAATGTGTGACATAATGACTTGAAATAATGAATGCAATTACCGGTTTTATTTGTAATTAACATTTTTGGTTGCCCAGCAACAATATATACCTATAGACGTTTTATGGGAAATAATCTGTGAGTAATGATGCAAAACTTGTTCATCTTTACTAGTAGCTCCAATCCTTCCTCACGGAGAACACCTGTAATAGGTTATTTATAGTGGACCTACATTACACGACATATAGCAAAGAGAGATGTTGATAACTTTCATATCCAAACGAAAGGATTAACACTTGGTGTGTTTGAATGATTTTTAAATCAAACATATATCGAGTTTATCTTAGCAATTTGACCAAGTAAATCCCTTATAAGATTGCAGATGCGACGAAGAGATAATTTAGACCCATCGGTAATTATTTACCTATCTTGTGAATCACGATAATAAAAGTATGGTGTTTTGTCACTCAACATTAAAATGGAGGACTGTAAGCAGATTCACACATGAACCGCGTAACCAAAAAATTCTGCTGTTTATAATTTTAGCGATTTTCTTTCAGGAGGGATTCTTTTCTGGGTTCTGACATAATGAAATATCCAAAAAAGTGCTTAAATCTCTTACAATATAAGATTTAACGGATTCAAAACATATTTTTCTTTAATTGTCATAATTGTTGTCACAATTTTTAATAGAAATGGGAAACAGTTTAAAATCTTGCAGGGACTATATAATGTAAAACCACATATTTTCGAGGGGTCAAATTTTCGTGGTTCGTGGGGATTTCGTTATTCCCCGATCATGACAAGGAGCACACGGCGGGTGTGACCGGTCGACAGGGGATGCTCACTCCTCCATGGCACCTGATCCAACCTCAGATGTTTTGCTGGTCCGTGTTTGCTCTGCTCCCATTTGGTAGTGTTTTATGGAATTTTGATCTTGAATATATTTCATGGAGAATTGTTGAGTCGATATGGGTGAAACAATTTAGATTTCGTGGTGGACATGAATTCGTGGGTCTCTTCATACCTCGAAAACAAAGAAAAATAAACCACACGATAATTTATGATTTCACAATATTTTGCTGAACTGTGGCGTATGAAAATATCTATTTTTCTGCATCTTATAAATACTATTGAAAAATGTTTTCCATATTTTTTTTTTAACAGTGGAAGACGACAAGACATTTTTGAAGTTAGTGAAATTAATAACTTTGTACTAAATTTTTAAAATATGCCAAATTAAAAATGAATTTTTAAACACACAATAATCTTGTTAGCTTTTGAAATCTCCACAGCTAAGAACGGATTCGAGTTAAAAAAAAAAAGTAAAAGGGTCCCATTTGACATTGTCTTTCTATGTAAAAACTAAAAAGTAAACATTTAAGCTTTTGAAATGGAAATAAGCATCACCAGATTGCATCGCAACAGTAAGGAAAACATAACGACTTGACCGTACTACTATATAAAGCGGTCAAATTCAATCTGGGTGATACCAGCAATCAGTGATACTGTTTTCTTGAATTTGTGAAATTTTCATTAATTAAAAAAAATGAATATAAGAAGAATCCCTCCTAAAGTAGCAAGGGTATACTAGAGAGAGAGGGGGACGGGGTTATATTTTTATTATATCGTATAAGACCATTCTCTAAACATGAAAAAGTACAATCTGCTTGAATAGAACGACACATAGATGTGATTGACGGGGAAATTATATATTTTTGAGATATTTAACGCTCTTTCAATTTTTGAAATACTGTAAACCAAATTTTATTCGCGGCAACTTTATTTCGCGATTTACCGGGATTAAAGTAGTTCGCGACGATTAATTTTCGCGAACAAGCCTTTTTTTGGAAGTTTTAATAGAAAAAAGAGACTTTAAGGACCTGTTCGCGGCGAGAAAAATTCCCGATAACGAGTCTCTCGCGAAAATTTCTCGCACGCGAATAAAAGTTGGTTTACAGCATTAAAAACGGGGGTATCGATCCATATTTTTAATTTTTTTTCTTTCTTTAGGAGCCACAACTTTCAAGTTGGCGGGCGAAGGAACAGCTGTTCAAGTACCCATTTTTATGAACTTAGTTTAGTCGCGGCCGGGGTTCGAACCCACGATCTTTCAATCAAGCGTAGTATATGTGGATGTGACCTACACGAGAATCGTCATATCATGTGAAAATATGGTAGAAAATGGATAAAAGTCTTGCAAAATACAAATAAAATATTCAGATTTGTTACAAAAATTCTTTCAAAAAAGAGATAATTGAAAATAAAAAGGTATAAACTTAATATAAGGAGGAAAGTTCTAAAAACCCCAGACCAAAGTCTAATTTTTGTCTACCGACATGCCAAAAAATCTTCATCTAATTAATTGTAATTTATGGTTTATGTCGTAATCATGTATCGTATCAGACTGTATTTTGACCCACTTTATCTAATCATCGGTTCTGTACAAAAGTATCCAATGTTAACCTTTGAGGTAATCCCACATCTTGAAAGGTACAGACGATACGCGCTCTTCTTATCATTTATTCGTTTTTATCGCTTTAATCCATCTGCTTTGATGGCGTGTGGCGAGTCCATAAAAGGGAACCCGGAGATAAAATTCCCAGACCACTATTTTGTCGTGTCCAAGTTCAGTAGTTCGAATTTCATGAAAATGTTTCGCATTTCATTGCGCCTTTCATTCACTCGATCATACTAACGATATACAAGTAGATAAATATGACGCAAAAATTTGTTCAATTTTATGGATGGGTAGGAATGGAATTTAAAGAGCAACACTTCTTGACATACGAGCCATTTCACTTGTATTTTATGGCATATGTACTTCTTAATTACGTTTTGAGGCATATGAAGCATCCAAAATATTGCAAAGTAACATTTTTGCCACAAGTATTTTCTCGCTTACAGAGAGAAAGCTGAAAAGCGAACATGCCTGTCTGGAGATGCGACATTGCTTAAACAAGCACAGCAGTTGCTTTCTTTGTAATTGTTCATCTTAACACGATAGAGCGTTTATGCAAATTTAACGAAGCATTCAAGTGATAATCCTGTTTACAGATCAATGCCAATGGGTGCAAGCCTCTTGGAGAAATTGCCTTCCATCTTCTCTGCAGTTCGTTGTCCTACACATCTAACACCAGTAAAGTTTCAGCTGCAATAACTACCTATAAAATCTTGAGTATTTTTATGCGCCGGATCGATAGATCCGAGGCGTATGTTTCGCTGTTTGTCTGTCTGTTGTCAACTTTAACCTTCGCCATAACTTCTGAACCATACAAGATAGAGACTTCATATTTGGTATGCATACTCGACCAATGAAGCTCTTTCAAATGGCACCAAGATCAATGACCTTGTGAGCTTAACTGTGACCTATATACTAAAAATAGCTTTTTAGACTTTTCGCCATAACTTTAGAACCATGAGAGATAGATAATTCATATTTGGTTTGCATACTCCACTAATGCAGTTCTTTCAAATGACACCAAGGTCGATCACCTTGTAACCTTGACCGTGACTTATCTGCAAAAAATAGTTTTTTTTAACTTTGTTACCGCCGGGCGCATAGTGTTTCACAAACACATCTTGTTTTCATCTAGAATTCATATTATTTAAAAAATTACAAAAATATCAATTACCAAAAAAAAAAAAAACCCAAACATTTCAATTTCTTTTAATATGTATTATTCAACCTACTTACCCTTTTTTCAAAATATATTTTTCACATTAAGACCCCCCCCCCACCCCCCGTTATAAGAGATTGGCAAATATTATAATTAAGAGACATATATTATACTCATAACCCTTCCCATTCCCACTAATTCTCTTTTTTGTCAATAAAGATAAAGTGAAAATCATTATCACTCCATTTATTCAAATAAAACTTTTTTTTTACAAAAACATGTACTCACTTTTATGTCCAAATATTGTTTGATGAATATTATGTAACATGGTGATACATGATTAGGATATCATAACATTTCTGTTTTATAAATTCAATAAATAATAAATGAAAAGAAATGCCTGAAATTCATTCATTTTAAATTGTAATTCAAGCTTAACTAGAAATTTTCCCATGGTAAAAAATCTTTTAAGGAAAAAAGATTTTTTAAAATTTAAATAAGTAAAAAAAAATTTATAAAAATATGCTTTCTGATTTAATATTTTTCATCCTATTATAAATGCTATACATGTACTACCATGACAGGCATAAAAACATTTCACACTGCATGCATCCATGACATCACAAAAATTCAAAACAATTTCTATTTCAATAAAATATATTTACAAAATGACTACAGAACACCAGGTGGGTCACCATAGAGACATATAAACTATAGATTTTCATACATTGTACCTGAATCATTTAAGATTTCACTGGATTTTTTTTCTTTCAGAATTGAACTAAATGATAACTATTTTGACATTAGATCTACCATTTCTATTCATGCTTAAACCCTGATACATGTAAATTCTTCATGCTTCATCATATTAGGTATAGTAGTAATAAGTCTTTACCAGAAACTAGTGAAAACAAACATACAAAGAAGCACTTTGCTCTGTTGTTTTATCAATGTAGAGGTGAAGTCTTGTAGCCCCGTTAGGTCTGAGGGAGTACAGGTGGCCGGTTTTAGTAGACAGACAGACCCATCAATCATGTTACCACCAAAAACCACAGAAGCCATAATAAACAGCTACCGTATACAATCACACAGAAATCAACCAGATTCTGAAAGCAATACCATGTCTAACACACTGATCAAACACTTCAGATATTCACCAAGAACCTGATGTACCTATTTTTTGAAAACATAAGATAATCTTACAAATCTTGGTGGGGTGGTAAAGTGGTTGAGAAGTGGTTTCCAAGTTCTCGGATTAAAATGTACAAAACTGAAATGAGAACAAAAATGGCTGTCCCTAAGAGTATCCATAGCAATATGTCTCCTTGATGATCCACCTGGCTCATGGTCAATCCAGCTCGTCTGGTCTGACTGGTCTCTTCAGCGGAATCATGCTCTTCTTCTCCTTGTCTCTGGATAGCGCCTTCCTCATGTCTGCAAAAAACCAAAATCAATGGCATTTTTCTTTTCATTACACAATTCACCTTTGAAAGCAATGTATATTCAAAATAAGAGATGTTTGTCCAAGGGGCATAACTCTGTCAAAAATGGCTAGATTGTACCCATAGCAGAACCTGACCTAGATATTCTTTTTGATAATCTGTATTCCAAATTTCATTTCAGTTGGTGAAATCGCTGCAGAGGAAATGAACGGATACTGCAAATAATTTGAATTTTTCTAAGTCCAAGGGGCATAACTCTATCAACTGACAGACAGCAGCAAAGCGACATACCCTCCCTTCTTCAAAGGAGGCATAATAATCTAAGCATGTTGCAACATCATTATTTTTGGTGATTTTTAAATAGATTTAAACAAAACTAATGCACATGCCACAATGAAATGACAAAAAAACATCATGGACAATGGAAGGTATGAACATTTGCCATTTTTCTTTTATTACAAGTTTGACCTAATATAAAGCGTTGAACTAGTCTTCAGGAATTTTGATTTTTGTTTAGATACTTGTATTTGTGTTGCACATGTATAATCTCTTTAAAAAGGCTACTTATCAATAACTTGAATCATGATGTGATAAATTTCATGGGAAGTGGTTTTGGAATTTCAGTCTTGGATCTCAAAAAATTATCAATGAAGAAAATGATATGATCTGCTAAAAACATAGATGAAAACTGAAAAAAAAATTGGTATAATATATAAATAACTTCCGTAAAAAAGAGAAAAATTGAGGAAGAGGGGATTATAGGATTCTCTCTAATTTCAGTAAATATTTCGGCTCGGTATTTCCTTATTTCTCCACTTAGAATCACAAATATCCCTCTCAACAAGAAAACACAGAACAGATATCCAGACCTGTCATAAAACAATCGGAGCTCTAGGCAGATCTGTTTCAACTGAGGTGAACTTTGGCTTCTGTGCACTTTTATGAGTAATTGTTTCAAACATCAGCAAACCTAAAGCGGCTCAGAAACTCAGAAATCAGAGGATTTGTGTACTGGCCCTCTAATCTGATGTCTGCATGTTATTTAGCCGTGCTGTCTTCAATACACAGACTTAGATGATATTCACGTATTTTAATAATGAAAAAATCCATATGTTGAAAATAATGATCAGGTGTGTGGGCCAAATGTTAGTTCTTATGATGTACAAGAGGTACAGATCCAGATACTGGTATACCGGTAATTCATCTTCTCTGACTATTAAGATTAGCAAAAGGAATGAAAATATTACTCACTGCAGCAAAATTATCATCTAGGTGTCAAATTTGACTGATCTAGACAAATTGTTTTACAAGATATATACCATACCCATGTTTTTTTTAGTCTTTTTTCTGGATGCAAAATTTCTTAAACTTAATTGCAAATTATTAGATAATCCAAATACCAGGTGCAGTCAAATGATAAATAATGATGGATCTTAAGAAAAGATTTGAATCTGATTTTAACAACCATCTTATCTTCTAGAGCAGTCTGAGCTTAATATCCCAGTCATTCATAAAATTTAAACTCTTTAATAGTCCTAGATCATCATCTGTAGTGTTAAAAAATTCTCAATATACTTCAAACAAACCTGAAAACCTGATAAAATATTTGAACTCGAGTGCATTGTATTAACACAATGTTGGACAGATGAACTGACAAATAAATCTCAGGGGTTGCTAAATTTATTCACAGTGAGCTTGTAGTGATGAACTTATTAAGGAATTCCAACTTCATGGTGGTTTTAGTCTAATTCTAACTATACAAATTTGTTATACAGTTAACTCTTTGTAATTGATAAGAATTAAATGTAGATCATATGTAAGGCAACAATGTTTTAATTAAATACACTTAGTGAATATATTTCTGAGTTCAAACATCTGTCTTACTGAAGTTGGAGATTGAATGCTCTTAAATGCTTCCTTAAAATGATTACAGGGTTGGAATAATTATACACTAGAATCATGAAAATTGAGAACACTAGAGTTCTATGTAATCATGATAATTAGGCTAAGCTAAATGTTTTTAAATGAATTTTGCAATGTACTTAGGAGAGAGGGAGAGAGAGAGATTGGTAAAAAAAAATTGTAAATTATAAATTAAGTACAGTTACATGACACAAGAATTATAATCATCACTCAACAAATCTCAGAAAATTTAATCATATATTGATGAAGCCTGGCTGGTACAAATCAGTTGCAAATTTAAGGGAGCAGTCCCCCCTCATTCCAAATTGTCAAATTCAAGATAAAATCATAATTCCTTCTAAGAAAAGAACAAATTATATTGGACAAAAAAAAGGTTAAAAAGTGTGGGTTTTTTGTACTGGTACATGTATTAAGTTATAAATTTCTAATCATTATTTATTACAACAAAAAATAGGAAAATTGTCCATTTTGAAAGAAGACTTCATTTTTGCCCAACAAAACCTCTGGATCCAAGAAGCTTCTATTGTCAAAGCACCCATCAGGGTTTTGCCCTGGACCCAGCGGGTAGCCTCAAGGAATTAGCATCCAGCTTAGCCCCTATAGTCTTATCAAAAGGCACCCTTTTGAATCCTAATGATTTGTCCCATCAGATACAGTATTGAAATCTTGACATATTGTCTAGCAAGAGGGCAGTCCAACCACTTTCACAGACTCATATGGATCATGATTCCGTCTTTTCCAATTCCAACTATCATGCCTAATAAGAGCAGAAAAACAGAGTACTTTACATAATTTCATGATGCATTATATGCGGAGAGGCTGCAGACTACCTTTATTGACAAGTACTTCTGTTGATATACCAAAGCTAGTAATCTGTCTAGCAATGCTGTAATTAGTGGAACCATTGGTGTTCCTAATGACACATTATCCACTGAGACCAGACTGAGTGTTAACATTGTCTTTCTCTGTGGCACTCTGTCTTCTTGTCGGAAAGCATTCGACATACTGCTGCTGTTTTACATCAATGATGAACAAGAATGATCAGTCAACTCATTTGCAGCACCAGAAATGCCACCCAATTCATTGTCAGGTTTGACAAAGACTGTAATGCATGTTGCTTTTTACTGTCATGTATTTATAGACCCATGAAAAACTTTCATTTTCATGTTGTGAACATGATGTTTTAATGATTTCATCAGTTTTATGATCCTCTTTTTAAAACAATTTTTTTTCCAACACTTAAGTTTTTACCTTGATCTATTAGCATATTAATGCTTCAACATGATTGAAATTATTATCATTTAGAAAGACTTTTGGAGGAGGCATAAAGAAAATGCTATACAGTAAATGCTTTTTTATTTACAATTTTTTATTTTCACATAAGTATGCAAAGCCATCTGTTTCAAAATTTCACTTTATTGTATTCAAATTAAGATTACATAGAAATTTTTTACCAAGTTCAGGAAAAGAAGTCTGTTCACTTTATGCATAAAATGGCCCTGTAGATATACCAATAAATTGATCAACACTTGATTTTCTATTTGAAGCATTAAAATAAATTAGAGACTTGGTGCTTTCATATCCTATTAAAAAAATTCTTCTAAAGGTCCAGGTCTAGGAGAATTGGCTTTATGAAATTGCAATGTTCTTAAATTTTTAGGTAAACAGGTATAACTGAGTACTTTCAGTGGAGAAAAATAATATGAGTGCACTCTCTGATCTAAAAAATAAAACGTGCATTAAAGCTGACATGAACTCTTAAAAAGGCATCATTTTTCATCTTTGTACGACTTACTACATTCCTGTACGCCTTTGTCCGCCATATTTCTTCGATTCCGCCATATTTAATCGGAAAATTTTGGTCACCTGTACCTGCTATATATAGCCTTGTACGATTGCTTCACTTGAGTGATTTTCTAGCCTGACTGTCGACATGTACACATCTCCGATAACAAAGTTTTTAGAAATCCATAAACTGACCAAATGCATGTTTGAAAAGTAAAAATTCGACAAAAAATAGAACTATACCGAGAATTAAATTATTTTTGAATGCATTTGCTGCAATATAGAAAATAAACTAACACGGAATACATACATGTACATCAAACACCTATGCAGGTCGAGAAAACGCGTCAAACGCAGTGATAAAAACATTTACCTGACTACTGCTATCGCTAAAGGGATATGCACATGTCGAAGAATTATCCTATTTTACTTTTATTGAAAAATGCATCTCAGAAGTCATGTAATCCATTCCTAACTCAACAGTAAAAGATGCTTGGACTCACGTGGCCCATGCCGATCATTTTATTTGGTCAGGGAAAATATCAAAGGTTGAAAGCTCAGTGGGGTTGATTGAAAAAAAAAAATGCAAGTAATTTTTTCAAAAATAAACATTACTCTTGTCTGAACATGTTGTAAATAAAATTTACGATTAAGTACATGGTTTAACTTCATCAAATTCATTAAAAAAAAAAAAAAGCAGGCATTATTATGTATCATTCACCTTTTGAAGATATTTTCCCGTGATATAAGGGGGGGGGGGGGGGATAAAACATGCATAACACTCTCATAAAAATAATGTAAGAAAAACGTCTGAAACAGATTGGATTTCTTAATGATCAATTATTATCAAATAAATACTGTGTATTGGCTTTATTAGACCTAATATATTTTGATTTAAAGTTATTTATAATTTTATGCACTATGAAAGAAAAAAGTGAGCACGTTCACATACCCCACGCTCCCCCAAAAGTCGAAGTGCTAAAAATTCCAAGAAAAAAATAAAGGAATCGTAATTTCCTTGTAATATGCACATCTATACACATTGTGTCCTAAATATCTGCAAAGTTTGACGAAAATCAGTGTGTGCAGCGGTTTATGAGGAGTTGCGCTAACAAATTGCTCACCTCTATATTCAAGATATGGCCAAAATCTAAATGTAAAAGTGCGGAAATTCCCGGAAAAATAAAGAATTCGGAATTTCCTGGTGATTTGCAAATCTACACACACATTGTCTCCAACAGATATCTGCAAAACTCTGTGCAGTGGTTTATGAGAAGTTGCGCT